AAAAAAAAAAAACCATTTAGTAAATGCTATAAGCATAATAGAAAAGCTAATTGTCCATGCCGAATGAGTACAAATGAAAAATAATTGTCGTGTTTAACAGCTTTCATGTGTCAACATCATTTGGAATACCTGAGCACATTTTTTTCCTGCCTCTACTATAGTTTATTATTTACCCTGACAGCAAAAAGTAACCAACGATTTCTGACGGCCGCCTCTGCAGATCACTGCCATTGAAACAATAAATTCATCTCTTTTTTACTCTGCGATTACCAAAAGAATTATGAATGATTTAGGAACAGATTTACTTATACGTGGAATGGAAATAACTTGAGATATTTGGGCATTAGACACTGATTTCGAAATACTGATGCAAAAAACAGTACAAGAACAGTTAAACAATGTCTTCTGTAGAAGAGAGTACGAACAATGAACATTTTTGGGTATTGTAACCAAATTTAATCAGGAGAAGCTTCATTTGACTGTTCTGTAGAGTTTTTAAACCAGAAAAATGCAAATTGAGAAGTTTAAACAAATAGCGAAGAAAAATGAAAAGAAAAAAATATTCAAAAAGCTTATTTCTGATTTTTACGCCGGACACCTGTGCCAAAAAACGCAGTTACTAAATGATATCAACTAGTCATTTAACGCCCACCGAATCCGCTGACTTTTGAAGCAAATGCATTAAGTCCTTTTTTCGACAGTTTGAAACAGTTAAAAAAGCCGCAGGAATTCAATCTCACCCACCTTCTTCTGTATCACTTCAAAACAATGTTGTATCTATTTCCCTTTTATCTATTCATCCACTAATTAAAGACACTTCGAAACCCCAAAACCCCGGTTTAGAACACTTGTTTTAAACACTTCAAGCAGAAAAATGTGTTAGTTTAAGAACGTTGTAACCTTATCCAATTAATTAAGCATAAATTGTGTGCAAGTGTGATTGCTTTAACTCACTGCTTTCTATTAGCTCTTAAAAAGAAAAACACAGAAGCACAAAAAATTAGAACAACAACTATCGCAGCACTTTCCAAACCAATATTCACCAACATTGTTAACTATGTAAAAGGATACCAGTGTCAAAGTACTGAAGAAGTATCAAAAAAAATTTCAAACTAGAAAATTCGCTGAAAAAAAAAAGAGTACAACCAGAAGAAATAGGAAACACGTGGGCAAACTGAAAGAAAAAATATATGTCTCCAAAAATAAAT